AATTAGTCTAGTAAAAGATATTCCAAAAATAAACAGAGAGGGCGTAGATGCCGCATATTTCACTCGATACTCGAGATTAGACAGCGTCTTATTTCTTTATAATACCATTTTTCATTTCCTATCATTTTAATTCAACCGTACATTTATGGAAAATTAAACAAATAATTTTTATTTAAATGCATATGTAAATATATAATTTCGTTAAAAGCATACTAATCGCAATATGAAATTATTCTTTATGTTTTCAGGCAGTTTTAAACATTATTAATTATTTTATATTTTATTATATTGTTACACAGTATTCTTCATGTTTTGTAAGGGGAAATCAATTATATTTATAATAACTTCGCGTATATATATATAAGATAAAGCTTTTTCATGCTAGCGTTATGTATTTATATAAAAAAGATTTTTTTCTTGTATTATAAATATTTTGCTCTTTTATATTGCATGATCTTATTTATTATTTTATTTAATTTATTTATAAAATTATTTAGTAATTTTTTATGCTATTTTTATGTAAACTTTTACTGTATAAATCTATCTTAATTCTACTCTGCACACAAACGTGGAATACGCAAACTCATGCTCACGAGCGCGTCTGACCTGACACGAACTGGTACTACTTGCTGGGTATGACTCTGCTGGGTATCAGCAGAGAGCTTATGTTAGTATTAATCAATACTAAATGTCAGTTAATACTTGGCAATATATCATCCTTTATCAAAATAATTTAAGAAAATTTACATAATAGCAAGATTACATAACAAAATTTTATATTAAGTCTCTCTCTCTTTTTCTTGCTCTCTCTCTTATTTACACAGAATTTAACGATTGTTAGTAGTAAGTAATTATATATAAAATTTCTTTTTTCATAGACATATAATTAGATACATGAGACATATATAAACATATTGAGATATGTTGTTATCAAGTGAGAAAATCTATAAAGGTTTCAATATTTATTTTAATAGCAATTTTTCTTTTTAATTTAAAATGAATTTTTTTTTAGAAGAAATTTCTATATGGCACAAATTTTTTACACACATGAAAAATATAATCTGTGTTTCAAGAGAATTTTTAATATCTTAATTATATATTATAAATATAGAATTATATATAATCTAAAATAATAGAATTACACTCTTAAAAAAGAAAGAGAAAGGGTGAGAGAGAGAGAGAAAGAGAGAAAGAGAGAAAGTTTATATGGATATTTATTACTTAATTATAGATAAAAGGTTTAATTACTATTACCTTTACACTTTACAGCAAAATTACATTCACTTTCTTAAATGTATTTATAGATTTATAGTAAAAGAAATTTATAATAGATTGCAAAATAGATAGCATAAAAGCATCGGAAATTATTATTAATAAACATTAAGTAAAGCTTTAAGCTTTGCCTAACTTTCATCAATAATTGCATATATTTTATTTATTCATACTGGCATAAATTACAGCATAAAATTTGCTTCAGTTAAATAATAAAAAAGTTTATCTGTATATTTCTATAATTACAATATATTAGAAATTTCAATATTTTAATTAAACGATCTTTATTTCACAGATTTCTACATGCATACATATTAAAAATGGTTTGATATCTAATATATTTTGTGCGAACATTGATTAATCATATAATAATCATGTACTTGAAAGACAGCTTTTGTATGTATAGTGGTTTAATCAATAATTCTCTACATTATTTCGCATCAGTTGCTTTTTAATAGTGAATAACGTCGGACTCTATCCAAATCAATTTGATATCATCGTTATGCTTTGAAATCCTTAATGCAGATTACCGTTATACTCTGTTATTTAACAATAAATATTAGACAATCTCATCTATTTTTAGAAACGTCTTATTTTACTTTGCTTTTTAGAGTGGTGGAAGAAAGCGGAAAAGTGACAGAACGAAAGAAGGAGAATGAGTATCGGTTAAAAGACGGCGAAACGCAGTTAATGTCGCATTACGGCACAGACTGCATAAGGACGTGCATCGTTTCGCAGCAAATCCCGTTGCAAAAGGAGATTCCAGAAAACCATCGACATGACCAAGAGAATTTTTAATATCTTAATTAAAATATAGAAATATAGAATTATATATAATCTAAAATAATAGAATTACACTCTTAAAAAAGAAAGAGAAAGGGTGAGAGAGAGAGAGAAAGAGAGAAAGAGAGAAAGTTTATATGGATATTTATTACTTAATTATAGATAAAAGGTTTAATTACTATTACCTTTACACTTTACAGCAAAATTACATTCACTTTCTTAAATGTATTTATAGATTTATAGTAAAAGAAATTTATAATAGATTGCAAAATAGATAGCATAAAAGCATCGGAAATTATTATTAATAAACATTAAGTAAAGCTTTAAGCTTTGCCTAACTTTCATCAATAATTGCATATATTTTATTTATTCATACTGGCATAAATTACAGCATAAAATTTGCTTCAGTTAAATAATAAAAAAGTTTATCTGTATATTTCTATAATTACAATATATTAGAAATTTCAATATTTTAATTAAACGATCTTTATTTCACAGATTTCTACATGCATACATATTAAAAATGGTTTGATATCTAATATATTTTGTGCGAACATTGATTAATCATATAATAATCATGTACTTGAAAGACAGCTTTTGTATGTATAGTGGTTTAATCAATAATTCTCTACATTATTTCGCATCAGTTGCTTTTTAATAGTGAATAACGTCGGACTCTATCCAAATCAATTTGATATCATCGTTATGCTTTGAAATCCTTAATGCAGATTACCGTTATACTCTGTTATTTAACAATAAATATTAGACAATCTCATCTATTTTTAGAAACGTCTTATTTTACTTTGCTTTTTAGAGTGGTGGAAGAAAGCGGAAAAGTGACAGAACGAAAGAAGGAGAATGAGTATCGGTTAAAAGACGGCGAAACGCAGTTAATGTCGCATTACGGCACAGACTGCATAAGGACGTGCATCGTTTCGCAGCAAATCCCGTTGCAAAAGGAGATTCCAGAAAACCATCGACATGACGGAAACCGACGATGAAGCCAGAGTAAGCAAATCGCGAACAAAACTATTGATAATACCTTAGATATGTCTACTTATGAGGGAATGCCTTTGACGAGTGTTATCGATTTATTCGCAATATAATAGCCCGGTTCCTATCGGTACCAGGATAAGACAACGATAATGGAGAAACATCACGCTTCTAAATTATATCTTTGTGCCTTGTGCATATGAATAGTGTGAAATGCTGTACAGAATATTCCAAAATTACTTAAATCGCGATCTTAAGCAAAGTTGAGCACGTGCCCTTTCGCGCAAATTTGCGGAAGAGCCAGTCAAGAAGATTTATTTTCCAAACTTCGCGAAAAGTTTCTTTTATCTATTTGCAACTTTATCTGTTAAATTACCTAGCATATATTGAAACAAGTTAATAAAGTGTTGCAATGTATTCGCACGCAAGCAACACTTTTAACACTGCGTATTAGATATATAAAAGACAATTGCGTGTCGATTTGAAGGAATTTGTGTGATATTTTATTTGTGTAAAGTATGATAAGCTGCTTGTTTTGCGCGATATCATGTACGTTATCTTTAGATTTACATGAAACCCACATCCGTGTGCAGCGCGTCGCATGCTTACACGATTTGATTATCATAATTAATAATTTGCTAATTGACATTATATTTTCTATTATTACTAATTTTAAGAAAATATTTCCATAGCATACTTACAAACTTTTATTACAAAACATTTCATTACAAACTCACATTTCACTTACAAAATTTCACAGCATATATATGAATAATTTAATAAATCAATTAGAAGCAAGTAGAGCAATATTTGATAATAAAATTTAACTATGTTAAATATTCTTATAAAATTTTCTTTAAATTGATTATACTGTAGTATAAGATTTTCATTTTAATTGTATAATTTTTTACGAATCTAATATGATATTTAGATCAATAGCTATTTTTATTTCACATATCGTTTCCGCACGTTGGGATATATATATA